GAGGGCAGACATCATCAGCTTGACAGCACTAAGGAAGGTTGTTGTATGGGGGGTTTTTCTTTTTCTTTTCCTTTTGGGGGACCACTGTGGTTTGTTTAATGGGGGAGGCGCGAAAAAAAAAACCAGGGCGGTTTGGGTTTTATTTCCCGCACTTCAGGGAAGGCAAACCTTGGGGTTTGTTTTCCTTCGGGGAAAAAACTTTCCAGGAGTTCTGGCAAAGTGTTGGATTTTTTGTATTTTTGTTGTTCACGGCCTTAAAATTTCCTTTTCCGTTCCTTTTTTTCCAGGAGCTTGAGGGGGTTTTAAGTTTTCCTGAATCCCTTTGGGAAACACCCCATCCATTCATGGGGTTTCCCAGATTAAACCCTTCATCCCAAATTCCCTGGAAAGGGGGTTTAGGATAAAATGTTTTTGTTTATTTGGGGGGAGGGGGGGGGGGGGGGCGTACTCACTTGTTGTTTGCCGTAGTCATTTGACCATTGACCACGCGTCCCTTTCGAGACGGAGCACCGTTCCTACACCTGCTAGAGACACCACCAACATTTGGGAGCTCTTTACGTTTCTGCCACAAACTCCATAAAAATTTCTTGCACATCTTATCCCCGTCCTCTAGGGCCTCTTGTGCCCACCATCTATCCCCAATTATTGCGATCGTTTTTTCTCTGTTGTCTAATTTACCAAACTTGTCCATGTCACACCCTGTCTGTCTCATTTCCTCCTCGAGATCCTCTCTTTCCTTCCTGTACAACTCACACTCCCCAACTATGTGGGGTCTACTCTCCTCCGATTTGCCACATGGACATGTGTGTCTATCCTCCTCTTCCTCTCTCCTACGGCTGGTATACCTCTTCCTCCGTTCTAGCAAGTCCAGATCGCCTACTCGATATTGCAATTTCAGCTTTTTCGCATAGTCCATGGGGCCGTCCAAGTACGTCTTCATCCCTATCCCTTCTTTCAACTTCCCGTATATCTCCAAGTGGTCTTCGCTTCGTACCTTCTTCCGAAGGGTTGCCTCCTCCCTACTCTCTAGCATCTCCTTGACTTTCGTCTTGAACCCCCCGAACCCTTCCGTGTCCAGCGTCTCCTCCTCGTCTCCTATCTCCTTCCAAACCTTCTCTACCACCTTGTCCCATCTGATTCCCTTCTTCCCTGGAGTCGCTTTTCCCCAAGCTGCCTTGTCAACCATGGCTGGTAGTCTATCGTCCGACATTCTACTTACCTTGTACTGCCAATTCAACTTCTGCATGTCTCTCTTTGTTTTAAGAGAGTTCATTCCCAATTCTGCTCTCAATACAGTGTTGCTCGTTGTACTTGAACATCCTAGTATTTTCTTGGCCGCTGCCATCTGCACCGTTTCCAGCTGCTTGACGGCCTTTTCGTTGCCTTCCCATACCTCTCCTGCATACTCTAGCTTAGGTACAATCACATTCAAGAGAATACACCGCTTAATCCTAGTGTCTAGGTGTGGGTCCGTAAGGATCTCGTCCATCTTGCCTATCTGAGCTTTACCCTTCCCAATCAACTTCGCTATGTGTGCGTCCCATGAGCACTCCTTCGAAATCTCTACTCCCAGGTACGTATACTTGTCTACTACCGGTAGTTCTTCCTCCCCCCATTTCCATTTGAATTGTACGGGATTTTTCTTGTCTTCGTTACAGACCACTACTGCGCATTTTCCTACGTTCGCCGACAGTCTCCATTTTCGGGTGTATCCTACCGCCGCATCTGTTTGTTCTTGCAACCCTTCTGGTGTTTCGGATACCCCCACGAAATCATCTGCAAACATCAGTCCGGACACACTCCTTCCCTCTACTTGGACTCTCTGTCTTACTGCTTCAACCGCCCTTATCAAATCGTTGATGTAAATCTTAAAAAGAGTGGGTGACATCGTACAGCCCTGTGCGACTCCTTGGAGTATATCCACGTACTTCGAAATTTCCCCATCCAACATCACCGCACTTCTTGTGCATTCTGTCATCTTTTTCAACATCCTCCACATTTTCGGGCGAATAGCCCCCCCGATCCGAGACCCTTGTACTCCAAGTACAACATATCATTGTGGGTGATGTGAGCGAGCGACTGACGTCGGCATCACCCACGGCCAACTGAAGTTTCGGATATTTCCAGAAGATGATACCACCGCCTTGGTTGACGATAACGGTCGGACAGGAAATTTTTTCACCAATCAGAAGAGTTTCTCCTTCCAAAAGCAAATTGACCAAATCAGATAACTGCGGGCACCTGTCTCTGTCTGTCTCTGTCTGTCTGTCTCTGTCTCTGTCTCTGTCTCTGTCTCTGTCTCTGTCTCTCTCTCTTTCTCTCTCTCTCTCGATTCTGAAGTGAACAAATGGTTTGTGTGTAAATGTGGGGGGGGGGGGAGGGGGTTCCATTATGGTGGGTACCTGCGGGGCCCCAGCCCACAGCCACTCCCCTGCAGAGACGGACGCAAAAAAGGCTTTCCGACACCACCCGCGGGCTTTGCCTCTGCTTCCTGGGCAAGTTAGGACAATAATACATCCACGACGTAACAGGAGGGCGCTAAGAGCGAATACACGACCGCAATACGAAGACGTTTAACTGTAACCGTAAGCGATAGAGACGCTCACACGGTGCTTGTTTGAAGCGCGGGCGACTTTACACGGGTGTGGGGGAACGCGTACAAGACAAGTGACGGGGGGGAGGGAGGAGGCAGAGAGGAAAACAGCAGGAGACGTCAAGGGGGCTTCGTGACAGTGCAGCGGAGCACACGCAAACGACTCGCGAGCCCCACCCCCCAGCTACACGCAATTCCAAAAATCTTGAACACCGATGACCCCAAAAAACGTGTTCTTGGTCAATCCTCTCACCCTAGAGGAGCGAGCAAAAATCAGTCGCACAAGACGAAATAACTAAAAATGCTTCCACAAAAGCTCTCCAACTACATCTCTCACCGGCTTCGCCCTCCAAATTGCCCACACTATCGCGGTTCCAACTCCGTATCACCCCCCCAAATCCTCAGCCCCCAAATCCCTGCAAAAAAGCGGTCCAACTCTATCTCTCACCCGCTGAGTCCCCCGACGGCGTGTAGCAGTCCTCGGAACCGTTCCCAGACCGGTCCGACGACCTTCTCGAAGCCCTCTTTGGCCGAGGCCCCCTCCGACGGCAACGCCGAACGGTTTAGAACTCCCTCGCACAGTCTTTGCACCAGCAGCCCCTGCTCATTGCAGGCGGTAGTGCGGGGCGGGGGTGAGGAACGAGCATGTATGCATGAATGCACGCGGGCACAATCAAAATCAATACAAGCAGCAAAATCAATGCTCGTCTGTGTGTATAATAGTGTGGGACGGGCGGGACACGTGCATGACGCATGCATGCATGCGCGCGGGTACACACCAAGACAAGCAGCAAAATCAACTTAGGTCCGTGCCATGCGGACAAGTAGCAAATACGAGCTGTAGAGCCACCCCCCGAGGGTTTCTCTTCAGAACGGGCCCGCAGTTGAGAAAAATTATGTGAAGAAAAAGAGGCTCAACATACTACGAAAACTAAGAAACCAGGGCTAAGAAACACAGCTCAGCGGTGGATCCCATACTAAACTCTATATGATATTCTGTGCTTGGGATCCCATACTAAACTCTATTTGATATTCTGTGCTTGGGATCCCATACTAAACTCAGTATGATATCCTGTGCTTGGGATCCCATACTAAACTCTATATGATATCCTGTGCTTGACAGTGGCGATGGAATAAGAAAATGAGCCCCGACCGGATTTTGACGTTTCCTATCTCCGGGCCCGTTCTGTAGACGGGTGGGAGAGAACCCTTGCGGAAGCGAGTTCCTCGTCACGAACCACAACCGCCGAAGGTCGATGAAACAACAACATCACCCCCAACAACAACACTTGTCAGCCACTTATCACGGTCAACGCTCATAAACACGCACGCACACACATCACATACATACCTGCAAATCCACCGACAATCGGCGGAACCCCTGATCTCGCCCTGCCCCCCCCGCTCCCGCCCCGGCGGCGCCGGCGCCGGCGGCCTGTCGACCCCCGTCGTACGCCGCAACGATCTCCCACCACAGCGGGAGGCTAGTCGTCGAGGGCGCTTTCGTTCTCGACACAAGCACCCCCATCAAGTCGCTTGCGCGAGGAGGGTCAGCAGAGGGCGACAGGTCAAGGCGGGTAAGGTTAGGCGTTCAAAAAGCGGGACGGGTTGGGGGGGGTAGAGGTAGCGTAGAGGGCAGTAATGGTGATGGGCGGGGAGGAGGGGGCAGCCCACGCCTCTACCACCACGTGCGCAACAGCAACACATTTTACAGAAGCAGAGCCCGTCAACGAGTGCAAAGGGGGCGAGGGAGGGGGGGGGGGGCACAGTATAGAAAATACGCAGAGTCGCCGGAGCGAAAAAACGTACAAGCACAAATGAACGAAACACCAAAGAACCCACCACCAAAAAAGTGGTGCCACACCGTACATACCGCAACAGCTTCCCGTTGACTGTAATACACGCCCATGCCCCCCCCCGCGGGGGCTTCCGTACAACACAAACAAACTCACAGGGCGTTAACGCAGACGTCCGGCTGAGAGGGCCACGCGCACAGACACATCCAGCTCGCCCGGAGCAACGCCCCCGCCACATCGGCACCCCCCGTCCCCGCTCCCGCTCCACCCGCAAGAGGAGCTGCGGCGGCGGGGGCCGCGCTTCCTGGAGGGTTCGACAGCGCCGGCTCTGGCCCGGACGACCCGAAGGCTTGCGTGAGGCGGTAACTAAAACCTCCCTAAGCACATGTTTTAAAATGTTTTTGGCGGAGGCGTATATGGCACACGCCGCCGGCATTCGGGGGAGGGGGGTTGGGATGTCCGTCATGTGGCATGGTGATTGGGGGGGGGGGGGGATGGTATGCACGTGAGAAAGTGGCTTCCGCGGAAATACGGGGGAGGGGACCGCGCCAACAAATGACAGAACATCCGACGACGAGGTTAGCAAGCAGAGACTGTCGGACAGCTTGCGATGCGGGCCGATTGTACACGCTTTGGAACGAGCAGCACACGACTCCTCATTCTACACACTTTGGAACGAACGGCACACGACTTCTCATTCTCGTATTCATCAACCACAGGCCGGGAGAGAGATGGCAGCCCACAACGCCCGGCCCCTTTCCATGCAACACTCGAGTGCGTTGAGGCATTTCAACTTCCACCGCAATCATCAAGGATGACATTCACGACAGGCACCAAAGCCATCAAATGTATAAAAAGTACGTGATACCTGCGTGGCTTTCTTCCCCTTTCAAAGAAGGAAAACATAAACGCAGCAAGAATTCTACGTTAACTTAGGTTTGCATCCCACCACCCACCCCCGCTCCCCTGAAAGGCGGGAAGGGATAACGATAGGAAATATGGGATAGGGAAGAATCATTCCTGAGCCACCTTTCGCAAAGTACTGCTTTGTAGGAAGGACTGATTGGCCATCGGTGATCGAACTGGTGGGAACAATGCCCCGTCCTCTCGAGGACGCGTGGTCAACAATCTAATGACCAAGGCATGCGAAACATGAGTACCCTCCCCACCCCGACAAGTTACGTACCTCATACAGGCTCAAGTCCGCGAACAGGTACCCGCTAGCCCATCGCGTGAGGCACCACAGCAAGGCGCCCCCGAGGTAGGGGCTCAGCAGAGGACTCGATGACGAGCACCCCCCCCCTCCACCCGCACCCTGCTGCTGCTGCTGCGCCCCTCTCTCGAGAAGAGTGACGTGCAGCTCGAGTAAGTTAAGGAGGCTGTGCACCAGGCTCACGAGTAGTTCTGCCGCCTGGCGGAAGAATACGATGGGGGGGGGGGGGGGGGGGGTTGAAGTCATTCCAATAGCCTTAGCAGGGTTTTTGTTTTTTTCGTTACTAAGTAAACATGTTGGATAAATATTGCAATCGGAGAAGTTCGGTTAGGGCTAGGGTTAGGGTCTGCGTACCCCCTCCCTGTTCTATTTCGTCATAAACTAAATTTCTCGCGAAGGAGGTTCGTTGGAGTCGACGTTGGCGTTTTCGGTGTTGTTGACGACCGCGGCGGCCAGCGGGAGTGAAATAAAGAGTATGTATTGGGTAGTTGGTTGGCTGGACTGGATGCTGGGTGTGTGGGTGGAAGAAACGTGAGGCGCACGAGGGGAGGTAAGGGGAAAATGATACCGGTACACAAGAAGTGGTGACAGCAGCTGCTGAACAGGAACAACACCAGAGGGTAGGATACAGCGACCAGCGACCATCATCATCATCAGCAGCAATGACAATGGCAAAATGCACAGCAGCCCCAGCAACAGAAGATAGTCACAAAAACGTAACCACGGCCTCAAAATAACAACAACAGCAACAACAACAACAGCGGCAGCAGGCAGCAAGCGACAGTGACAGCAGCAGCAGCAGCAGCAGCAGCAGCAGCAGCAGCGGACAACCACAGCAGTGGAGGATAAACCACAGCAACACCACGACCACCACCACCACCATCAACAACAACAACAACACCAACACACGAATCTCAAAGCTCACGTGATCGTCCACCAAAAGAACAGCGTGCAGCCTCTCGGGCACCATGCTATCATCCTGCGACAGACACAATGCAGCAGTGGGTGCGAATCGGGAGCGGGGGTCGGGGGGCAGGTATTGGCTGTCACGACCGGGTTTGCGGTGGAGAGAACTACCACACGACAATTGGGCGGGTGCAGGAAACTAGCCGATACAAGGGCAGGGCAAGCAGCGGCGGGCGGCTGGATGGGCCGGCAAACGCTTACCCTTACCAACAAGACTAGACCAGTACGCATTCAAGGTCTTTTTGTCCAACAACACCAGCGATAACCGTTGCAAAGTCGCACTTGACTAAATAGTATCATCAAGGTCCTATTGCCCCAGCACCACCAGCCACAAACATCGCAAAATCTCACACTCAACCGTATCATCATATCAACGTCGTATTTTGCCTCAACAACACTATTAGCGATAACCCTAGACCCCAGCAATCATCGCAGCAGCAAAGTCTCGCACTTGACCGTTATCATCACCAACGCCGTATTGCCCAACGACAACATCAGAAAAAACAACCCTAAACATTGATCGAACAGTCCCCTCACCTTATCGGCGATGAGGTGGGCAGCGAGAACCACCGCCGTCCTCGCCTGCTCCATCACGCCCGTGGCTGCCGGCGACAGCTCCTGACCGCCGGGGAGCAGCCCGGGCTGTCCGTTCACCGCACCCGTTTCGAGAAGCCTCGACAGGACTTCCGACACTCCCCTCACCTTAACAAATGCGGAGGCGGGGAGAGGGAGAAGTCAGGAGGCACGGGGGGGGGGGGGGGGGGGGGGGGAAAATTTAAAAAAAACCCCCCCCCGGGGCTTTCCCAAAAAAGTTCAAAACTTATTTTTGGGCTTGTGCCCGGGGGGGGGAAAATGAAAAAAAAAAATACCCCCAGGGGCCTAAATTTTCCCCAAATTTTTCAAAGTTCCTTTACCCGAAAAAATGTTGGGAAAAAACCAAAAACCCCAAGAAACCCCATTCTGGCCGGGGAGGGGGCAAACCCAACCACAATTCATTTACCAAAAAAGGGCCCCCCCCCCCCACCCTCCGTGGGGGTAAGACTAACGGGGGA